GCCATAGTCCTGATATAAGACTTGTCTCTTGATTTTATCTGGTTTGTTTTTCCATAAGAACTGGAAAAGTAGCGATTGGATTACAGATGCGTAATTATTTGGAATGTCAAGCATGGAAGTCGAATAAACAATTTGAGATAATCCTAGGGTTTTCGAAATCAAGCACCGTCCAAACAGAGAGAGTTTACACGAACGCCAAGCTGCAAGTTTTGTCTTGAGATTATTCACCTTCTTAGCAAAGTTTTTCCGTTCATTGCTAACACTATCATACGAAATAAAGGTCCCCAAGACTTTCACCGGTTCATTGGTCCAGGCTAGACCCAGAGAGTTAATTCAGCTACGGGAGGAAAACAGTTAACTTTGTGATGAGATAGCAATGCTCAGAGTGCAGCTTGATTCTTCCTCGAAAAACCAGCCAGGTAAATTACAAATGATCAGTGTTACTGGGAATTTATCTTTAAGCTAGTAAACCAGACGTTTCATTACTTTCTTTAACTGTAGTTAGCCTTTTTCTTCCAATGAGGTTTTGTTTCCTTGGTTCAAGGCATTTTTCACTGTACTGTATCTACTTTAGCCATGGTGGAAAGAAATTATGTAGGCAGAGATTGCCAAAAATAGTTCTTTTGTGTAACGCATGGCAATTTTAAAAGTAAAATCACTACTGAATTTTTTATCACCAGAAAATACTAACCTTAAACTGAAGTATCAAATGTGATTGGCACAGAACTTACACAATTCAATAGTAAGTAAGTAAACTTTATTTAGGCAGGTTAGTATGGAACGCCAAAACTGTCTTATGATACTTTTTTTTATTATATTGGGTGGTTATGTCATTATATTTAGTACTTATGTTATTATATNTCGGTGATTAACTCATTATACTCGGTGCTTATTCCATTATACTCGGTGCTTATGTCTTTATATGCGGTGCTGTCTTCGTTATATTGGCTGCTTATTCCATTATATTTGGTCCTTCCCTTGTTATATTCGGTGCTTTCTTTGTTATATTAGGTGCTTTTTTCATTATATTCGGTGCTGTTTTTATTATATTCGGTACTTTCTTCGTTATATTCAGTTCTAACTTTGTTTGGTGTTTTCTTCATTATTACGGGTGCTAACACTATTATATTCGGTGCAAAGGCCATTATATTCGGT